AAAAAAGATCTTCCTCTCTCTTACTGAACAACGTTCACGTAACCCCCCCCACCTATGGACGATGCACGCTCGGCGTCCAAGCTCTCGGTCGACTTCTTTCGGTATGCTAGCTTCTCTGCTTAGACGAAGCTGCCAAAAGGAGCTGTCCAGACGTCGCTGGATCGTTCGGGGCGTGACGCTGTCGGGGGTTGAGCGGAGGCATCGACCCAAAATGGCGAATGCCACCGAAGTGCACTCCACAAAAAACAACCATATAAATAGAGGCGTTTTGAGCAGCTAAAAAATAGTACACAGAAATAACATGTTGACGTTGAAGTAGCTGGGTACACGACGTATCCAACTGGTTACTCTCAGGGTACGTTAGTAGAGTTCTATCTACTCACAGAGATTGACTCCCCAGTCCGTTTGCTGCTGATATTTATTGAGAGTGAGGATCAGTAAGATAATCTATTGGAAAGAAATACCTTAATTATTAATCAGCATGCAACGATTGCAATTGTTTGTGTCGTTAGTTTCCTTAAAGTTTGAGCCTATTGGGTGAATTGTAAATGGAAAAGTCGTCCCTACAAAGCATTTTTTGCTTTTTTACGTGCATGTTTCGGATGTGGTCCCGGTTTCTTACCTCTTTTGCCAATTCGCTCGGGCTCCGGTGCTAGTTGTGGTATCTTTGTTTGCGGGTTGGTTACGAGGCTTTCTGTCGTTGGCCACGGGAGAAACTTAAACGTGTAGGTATCCTTGAAGTGCCCAATTGAAAGCCGTTGTGCGTCGTACAGTTCTTCAAGTCTCATACCATGTTTGGTAGCTGCACAAATCGCGTGTACACAGGGAAATTGTTCGTCCTCCCAATTTCCACAGGTGCACTCCTTCGAATTCAAATCTACCATTCGCCAAGGGTGTATGTATCCAGGTTTTGGTAAAGCCCCAACGTGCTGTACCGAGAAAAAAGCCTCGCCGTGTGCTTGAATATCACACATCTTAGCTACAACAGCTCGTTTGTCGCGTTTGGCTAGCAGCACAGGAACAAGATCCGTTTCACTCCTGCTGTCTAGCTAATCTGCTGCTTCATTTCTTTTATCAGACATCAATTGGCCAAGTTTAAAGCAATACAGGTTAAACGCATCAAGCGGTTTTGAGCTGCGCAGATCTTTCCCCATCAAATTATTGGCTTGTTCGGAGATGTTTGAAGTAATTTCATCGTATGTTGACAGGCCAAATTTCTCGAAGAACTTATACTTAACCCAGTTTTCAGTGGGAAGCACTAGACTCTGTTCGGTACCGCTCGGTGTGATTACCTCAGTCTTCTTAGTAAGGTATTCTGCGGCTCCTGAATTAGAAATCTCCAACTCGTTTATGTACAAGTTGTAGTCACTTTCAGAGTCGGAACGAGCGATAGAGCAGATTGTTGCTCTGTCTTGAAGAGAGAGTCTATGGTTGGCTCTGTTGATATTATCCATGATATGGCGGAGGCAGAAGCGGTGTCCAGCGGATGGGAAAACTTCGGCAACTGCATAAAGAAGACCCTTATGACGATCAGACAAAATCGTGATTCTCTCTACTTTAATTGCATCTTTGACTGCCATCAAAAACCAAACCCAGTTGTCGTAATTTTTGGTTGATACCAGAGCAAACCCAAAAGGTATGATATGATTGTTGTAGTCCTTTGTAGTGGCAACAAGGAAAATCCCTCGCTTGTTCATGTCATCCTGTAAATGAGCGCCATCAAAACTAATCAAATTTTTAGTCATGCTCACAATGTGGGCGCCTGCGTTCGGGACAATGCAAGCACGCTTAAAGGTCACGCCATCGCTCTCGCTCTCATATCGCCACACGGAACCGGGATTCTTACTTGCCAGAAGCTCCAAATACGACTTCAAGTTTTGGTAGCTCTCGAGTAAATCTCCATGCAATTTTTCGTCCAGGTCCTGCTTGATCCTAGAAACCGAAGATTTGCTGACATTGATGCCCTTCCCTTTAAAAACCTTCTGCACAGCTTCCCCTGAAAGAGTTGATCTTGAGTTGGCATGAGCTGGCAGAATTTCACGTGCTACTACAGCCGATAGTTGAGCTTCACGGACAGACCGGTTCCTTCTCGCCTTTTTTTCACGAGGGGTATTTCCCTTCGCGAGTGGTTTCTGAGTAGATCCAATGTTTTTGAGATGGTTGTGGGCGAAGTTGGCTTGAGTAATCTTCCATACCCCATTCTTTCCGTGTACATTGATGAAAAATGGGCAGCTTAGATCATTTTCCGGGGTAACTTTATCAAAGAACTTCATGTCATTTAGTTTTTTGCAGACGTACTTCGCGTTTCCTGAGTTTTTTGGCTTCACACTCGAAGATTGTACAATCAACTGAAATCCACATACCGTTGCAAAATCGTCACATGTTGCCCTTGCTGCTTTTTGTGTTGGAAACTCAGTGTCTGCAATATTGGTTCGCGTCGCGTATACTCCCCCATACTTTTGGCTGGAGCGGTCTGAGGTATCAACTTTTGCGTCCTCCCTCAAAACACCCATGCTTATAGCTGTAGCGATGTCAGAAAGATCTACCACGAAGGGAGAACTCCCATAATTC